TGGTAAAGCGCCGAGTAGGGGCGCGATCGCTGCCATATGCGCTCGTATTCACGTGCCCGTAGTGCATAGCGTGGGTGTACCCATGGGTGTCTCAGAGCATACCCATACCCATACCCACATGGGTTGCATACCCATGCCATGGGTATGGGTTTTGCATGGGTATTCTGAGTACCCATGGGTATGGGTAATGTTATGGGTAGTCCTATGTGCAGTTCATGCTCAATGGCTTGCAAGATATGATGACACTTATTGTGCAGAGGCCAGAATATCAATCAGGCACTGTACAGTTGGTGAATTCTCATCATAAATTGATGCTATGTGCAAGACCAAGGATGAGCACCCCTCAGACCAGTTCACTGACTGTGTGGTCAATCACAACAGTGGGAGTTTCCAGTTTTTGTCCCACATACATGCAAGAACAATAGAAAAATGAGTGGGTATGGGAGGGGTCAAAGGTTCCCAGTGTATCAAAGTCAAACATAGCAATACTGTAACGGATATTCCCGTTACAGTATATCTTACATTACATATTTGTCCTTGTTTGCTCCAGGACTCGTATGGCGCGCCGGCGCACCTACGAGTCCTCAGCCTTTTACCTCGTCACCGCCTTTGTATGCACTCTGTAGACAGTACCTCTTGAATAGAGACTGGGTGCAGCGCATACGAGGCACGACGAGTGAGGCGCCATTACACTTTTTTGCGCTCCAGAAAAGCTTCTATCTCTCTGGGGACTATCTACTCTAGGCAACAAACTCTCGAACCTCGAAATTCGACATCAACAAACTCTATGCTACTTTGATCATCCTCTGGCCAACTCGACAACTCGACAAGATGTCCGAGTCGACCAACACCCCGTCCGCACCTTCGCGAGGCAGCCGCGGGTCCCACAGTGGAACCCGCAGCAAGCTGAAGGCGTTGCGTGCGGAAGTCCGAGCAAAGCTCGCCGCAAGTCAAGAGCGGATCAACAAAGCCCTCGAGGAATCCAAGCAACTCGAGGCCGAACTGCTGGCAACGGTCGACGCCGCTCTGTCCGAGGCCAGCAGCTGCAGTCGGTCTTCTCGCACGAAGACCACCCGGACTGAGTCTTATCACCGCGAGGACTCAGCCGGAGCCCTCACAGAGCAGGCGCCGTCCGACCGTGAGGTCGAACAGGCACCGCGCACTGAGCGGCTCGAGCCCAATGTCGAGCCCGCTCAAAACCGCCCGGAGACCGACTCTCCACCTGCTTCGACCCAGCCGATGAAGCTCGGCACCACTCTGAGGAGTGGTGAGCGCGCCGAGCTCGACAAAGTAGCCGTAGTCGAGCTCGTGCCTGGATTGAACGAGCAGCGCCAGGAGCTGACTCGTATCAGCACCCGGGAGGGCATAGGCACACAGTACTACAGTAGTACTGTGTGCAGTGGGAACGAGCCCACGCGTGTAGATACGCTCGTCGCGTGTTCAGAGATGAGCCGCGACACAAAATATATATATTCGTCGTCGAACGCCGTGCGCGCCACGACGAGCAGCCTGCTCGACGCGACGCGCGACGCGCTCAACGCTACAGGCGTCGAGCGCCACGAGTCTGTGGTGAGCGCCCCGAGTTCTAGCGCCCACCGCACTACGCTCGACCGCCACCACCGACCCCTCGTCCTCGCCTCCTCCCACTCTCTGGGCAGCCACCTCGAGCGCCCGTCTGGCGAACCAGACGCGCGCGCCGCCCGACGCGAGTGCGAACTCGCGTTCGCGAATGGCTGGCTGACTTACCGCCAGTCCAGTCAGTGGCGACCGACGACCTGGTACCTCCCGGTACCAGATCGCCAATTCCTCCCTCACCGGCTCCTCAACTCTCCCTTCTGGTCCCGCGCCTCGACTTGGGAGGTCCCCTCTTCGAGTCCGATGACTCTGGCGACCGTCACAGCGGCTCTGGCGACACGCAACCCAGCCGCATGACCCAGGACTTGAACGACACGCGTTCAAGTCCAACGCCGAGCCGCAAGACTGAGCGGACCATGGACAACGCGGAGCAAGGAGAGTGGAAGGAGGACAGGGGGCAGAGGAGTAGCGAGGTTGAGGAAGGAACACAGGGACAGAGGGAGGAAGGGTGCGGGGCGAGCAGGATGCACGAGCACGAAGGCTCGACAACCACAGGCACGTACTCACCGTACGTCCCTGCATCGCCGCCTCCGCTTCCAGTGCCCGCGCCAGCACGCGTAACGACGGACGAGAGGTTCGTCGTGCGTCCTATGACCACGAAGACGGCACTTCCGCCTCCAGGTATGACTGCGAAGTCGTACCAGATGTTTCGCGGGATAGCACGTCTGTGCTACGGGACGACCTCGCGGTCGTACCCTCCAATCTCCGAGGCAGTACGCCAGGATACGGGACGACCTCGTGGTCGTACCGTCCATCTCGCAAAGCGACACGCGGACGCGCAGCAGTGCACGTCCGACGTGTCCCATTCATCCATCACCGACCGATGGATAGCGAGTACGCCGAGATTGATGCTCGACGTACACGCTACCGACCAGCATAAAGGGTCGAGAACTGAAGGTACGCCCCTGGATGGACGTACCCACCTCGATACCTCCTACCTTGCCCGCATCCGCACCAACAAGCGTAGCGACGAACGTTCAGTTCGTCGTACGCGTTGTTGGTCATGAAGACGGTGCGTCTGCGCTTACGGGACGACCCAACGGTCGTGCCTCCCATTCTGCAAGGCAGAGCGCATGCGGTAGGAGACGACCTTGCGGTTGTACCTCCTAATTCGCGAGGCAGCACGACGGACCTGCAGCGATGCATGTCCGAAGTGCTCTACTCAGCTTCGACCGTCCATTGTGCAGCGCGTACGCCTAGCCTACCGCTAGACGTACCCGGTGGCTATGACCACTGCGCGTCGACCGTCCTGACCCTTCGTCTGGCAGGCCCATCGCTCGACCAACTGCGACGCCACACGGCCTGCACGTCCTCACGGAAGTGCAGGCCCCCAGTTGCTCCGATGTAGCTGAACCTCCTGAGGTTCAGCTGGCCAGGTTGTGGGACGACCTCGACGACATCTCCAGCAGCCCCCATCGCGCGCAGCCGACCTCCGAGAAGACTTGCACTCCCAACCGGAAGTACAAGCCCCCAGTAGTTCCAAGACAGCTGAACATCTCGCGGTTCAGCTGACAGGTCCACGATACAACCCCGACCGACTCGACGAAGCGGCGACCTCGGCCTCGACTTCGACCTCGACCTCTCCAGCAACAGCATCCACCGCTCTCTCCGCGATCTTGGTGCCCCGACGAGCGCGCTGCCCGACGATCGCGTATTCCCGAGCAACGCGCGAGCTCGAGATCGCGACCCGACTACTGCACTACCAACAGTGCAGCGGCCGGCGCTTACGACCCCGACCGACTAGAACGGCCTCCCGACCGTCAACCCGGCGAGAACTTCACAGTTCTCGTCGATGGCTCGCTCCTAGGGACCCCCACCCAGCTTCATACCGACCTCTCCGCGGCCCCCGATATCGTTGGCGACAATGACAGGCACCGCAAGTCGGAGGTCGCCCGCGAACTCCGAAGAGCGCGTGAAGGACCGAAGGACGGTCAGGACGGGGACGAGGGCGATGTGGGTGAGGGCGAGGAATCACGAGAGGTAGATGAGGAAGGTCAGGCAGAAGAAGGAGGAGAGGGGGAAGGGTGCAGGGCAAGAAGAGAAGATGAGCTCGTCGAGCGGGATAGCTCGACGACAGGTACGTCTTCTTTAGACGTATCTCTTCCTCCCCTACCACCATCTCCTATCCCACTACCACCACCTGTGACGACCACGACTACCAACACGGTTGTCGTGGCAGTTACCACGTACGATGGTGGTACGGATGGCCCATGGAGCGACCTACAGGTCGCACCTGGCCTGGCAATGCATTGCGATATAGTTGGCGAGCGAGGTTGCTCGACCGACGTGCCCAACGGTTGTACAGCTCACGCGCAGACGTACTACTTCGCGAACGAAGTTTATACCGAGGAGATCGGCGATGAGTCGAAAAGCGAGTACCTCACGGTACTCGTTCCGCCGTCACCACCTCCTGTGCCGATACCACCACCGGTGATGACCACGACAACCACATTGGTTGTCGTGGCATTCACCATGAAGGATAGTGGTACCGCCGATTCACGAGGCGATCTACAGGTCGCGCCCAGCACGGACCAGCATCGCAATCACGACGCACAGATGGTGAGCCCTACGCTCAACGGACGCGCCGCTGATGTCACCGGCGACCATACGTTCCACTCGCGACCTCCGTCATCGGTCCCATGCACTTCACTAGGGAATGACCTCAAGGTCGTTCCCGAGAGTGCATATCGCGGTGCACTCGGACTGCATGGTTGCAGTACCGAGGCACCCCTAACATCCGCATCCGACGCAGTACAGGCATCGACCTCGTTGGTCGATGCAAGTCATGCAGAGGATGTCACACGCGGACGCGACCCCTCCACTGCCAAGGGCGAGTACCATGAGGTACTCGCCAACTCACCCTTCCTAGTCACAGTGTCGCCGCCCTCTCACGCATCGAACACGACGGGCCCACCGATCGTCGTGAACAAATGTCAAGAGGGGATGGCGTCCGAGCCCAATTCCGTGGATCGCGAACTGTCGACCGAGACGTCTACCACAGTAGACGTACGGCAGGCCGCACCTGAGTCCGAAGGGCGACCGTCGGGACGCTACGTGCTACCGGCACGTCGCGTTCAGCAAGACCGACGTGAGCTGGCTGTATCCCTCGACAGCGAGCACCAGCCCAAGTACTGCGAAGTACCTGGAATTGGAACACCTAGCGAGAACGAATATTGTTCTCGCGGGTGCGCAGCACGGCAGGCACCTCGAGTGAGGTGCCCGCGTCGACTAGCACGACGACGACGTCCTCGCCGCGTACCCGATCAAGGAAGCGCTTCCGGGAACTGGTCGGAACGGAGGTGGGTGAATGGCAACGTTCACCTACTACTATCCATGGCATTGGGACCGAGTCGGGGCGAGTGCAGGGGAAATCGTCAACCACTACGAAGTGGGATGCTATTCTGAGAGGGGAAGGGAGCGGGGCCTCGAGTGGCCGCCGCCTATCTCACGCTACCACCAGTACATCGCGTGAAGAGGTACTGGTCTCGGATCCTGCAGTGACACGGACGCCAAGCATCGAGCTTGACGTACGGGCCTCACGTCGAACATCAAGGCAGGTACTACCTGTACCACGAGTGTCGAGCGATCGACTCGACGTGCAGCATACTAGTGATCATCGCAGCCACGACATCACCTTGGAAGCCAGTACCTCGCGCCGCGAAGTACTGGGATTGAACCGAGTACCGACTGCACGGGGTCACCCAGTGACTGTCGATGTGAGTCAATGGCCCATGGATAAGGCGTCGCGCGAGGAGTGCTTCACACTCCTTGCAGACCAACTCGACTTCGACCTCGATGAGGCTGATTTTGCGGCGAGTGTTGGCGAGTGGGACATTTGGGCTCACTGCAAGAGGTCAGCACTTAGCTGTGGGCATGCAATCGAGGAGATGTCCCCGCGACTGGGGACATATTCTTGTGCAGCTCGTCGAGCATGGGACCACTTCCAGAGGGAGTTGGAAGTGGTTCCTCTCGAGTTCGATCCTCTGCTGGTTGCACCATTACCTATGGAGATGGTGCGATATTGGGCCTACAACAAGCTGGGATGGCTTGTTGTACCACCTCGCAGTCAACCTCAGGATGACTCCGACTGGTACAACTCCTCTGATGAGGAGCCTCGTACCACAACTCGTGAGGATTACTCTGACCATGTTGAGTCAGAGTCTCTCTCCGAGTCCGAGCATCATAGCTCGTGGGATTCTTCGAATCCAGGTTCTGAGGGGGCAAACTCAGTAGTAGTCTCTGACTACTACGAGCAGTCCGAGATGGAGGATACCTACAGTTCTTCTGCACTATCTGCTGAAGATGAGGGTAACTCCGAAGATGCAGACTATTACTCGGAGTCCGAGTAGTAGTCTACATGCTGGTTGCACAACTCTGTCGAGTTGTGTATGACAATGGTGAACGGTCGTGTCTGCTCACTGACATGAAGTAGTTTGTCGCTGTCTACAGTTCAACATCATCTTTGTCTTGCCAATTGCTACCACCGTTGGGTGGTTGCATGTACTATTCCTTTCTTTCCTTTTTCTCTCTGTTTCTCTGGTTATCGCTGGGACCCGTGGTCGTGTCCAGTGGGGAGAGTGTAACGGATATTCCCGTTACAGTATATCTTACATTACATATTTGTCCTTGTTTGCTCCAGGACTCGTATGGCGCGCCGGCACACCTACGAGTCCTCAGCCTTTTACCTCGTCACCGCCTTTGTATGCACTCTGTAGACAGTACCTCTTGAATAGAGACTGGGTGCAGCGCATACGAGGCACGACGAGTGAGGCACCATTACAAATACACAGGGGTGTACCTTTTTCCAAGTTGTAGACCTGTAGTGTTGTTGCATGTCATGCTCACTTGTTATACTGCAATAGAATGGGCAAGTGTGTTGCCTGAAGTAAGAACTGAAGGGTAGGTAATACAGGATAGGCAAAGATGAACAACTGACAAAAAGGGAAAACAATGTAAACAAGGCACAAAGATCATGTAAGCAAGGTATGTATTACAACTCATAACTCTGGTGGTTACACAAGTGTGTCATAACAGTACAAATAGCTACACAGACCCACAAGAACTGAGGAATGAAACTAGCAAGGTTGTATACATCCATAGATCTTACATATTTTACCAAATATGAACAGTGAGGCAATGGGCAGAGCCTTATAACATGTGCTGTTTACATATAGCAGTATCACAGGTCAACAGTCAGCAGATGAATATACCTCAGACTCAACAACTACAAAACTGAATCACAGGAAAGATGTAGCAGCAATCATGCTGATTTCTTTTCCATCAGGATCCCTTGTCACAGGTGACTAACTAAGCATTACACAGTATTACCAGCTGTCTAATAAGGACAGCTTTAAAGTAAGTAGGATTCAGTATGGTCACATTGTTTGGTAGAGCATTCCAGCTACACCATACTGACAAACACATGGGACTGCAGTAGCCATCATTGTGCATTGAAAAGGTTAGTTGAGCTTTCTCCTAATTCTTCATTTGAGCCACAACAGCACATACACTGCAATGCACATTAGATATTTCATTTGCTTATTTGATGGCCTCAGCAATCTGTGTATTTGATTATAGCATATCAATATTGGCAAAAGCCATGTCATGCATGGTCAATGAGTCTTGAGGGAAAAATGACTGGTGACTTTACCATACTGCCACTATTGCAAAATACTCTCAAGCAAGCTTCAGAATGGTGACACCCTAAATGCTAGCATACTATGAGAGTGACACAACACTGAATACCTGGCTAGGAATTAACATTGATTACTGCCAGTGGATAAGCACTGCAGAAGTCCATGGGTTTCATGGGTACATGGGTCAGATTTTGGCTACCCATACCCATACCCATGCATACCCATACCCATGACCCACATGGGTTACTCATACCCATGCAATGCACTAGGTATCAGGCTGTGTCTGCATTGTGGCTCAGCTCGATGCACGAGTGACAGGTCGGCTCATTGTTGTCGGCTGAGCCCGTTGCTTGGTTTTGGTTGTCGTGGTCGACATGGGTTGGGGGTAGATGGGGTAGATGGATAGCGCAGAGGTTGGATGAAGCGAGTTGACTGTCGAGAGTGAGAGTATGAGAGTAAGCGAGTATGGTCCTTCGAGTTAACAAAGATGGTAGCATAAAAAGATGTAAAGGTTAAAAGTCAATCTCACCTTGTTAATGAGAATAGTGCCTTAGCTGATGTGGCACTTGTATCATCCAAGGCTATAAGCATCTTGCCTGAATCATTCTGAATATTGTCTGATTTTCCACTTTTCCCCGGGTCTCAACAAGCCCCATTTGACCACAGTAACAGTCCACACCTACATCACTTACTAAGCGCCCAGATGCTGTTTGGAGGTGCATTGGTGCCAAATTTTGGGATGTGTGCATCTCCAAACAGCATGGGAGGGATGCTGGGCTGCTCTAATTGGCTCAGCAGGTGCTTTCCTGCCCTAATCACTAATCAGGCAGGCTGCCGAGGTTTTGGGCTGAGTTTGAATCTCAGCCACAAGCCAAAAATGCGTAAAATATACAAAATATTCCTGATGATAGGTATGATGTCATAGACCCTATAGCTGGTATGACATGCCCATGATGTTCAGTGGTCATGGCACAATCCACAAAACAAAAAAAACACACATATGCCTCTGTGCACATGAATGCATTCCCTTTCACTCCCAAATTGAATCTTTTGAAGCCTATAGACTGCCCATAGATTCTCTATGTCTCTATGACATCTGAGACCTGCCATATAGGGTAGCTGACCTGCCTCAAATGGTAACTTTCACTCAGCTGCTCAGTCTGGGCTCAAATAATGCAGATAAAATCAGGCAATATTATGTGCAATTGGACTACTTTGTAATGCCTGTTGTGTGTAATAAATTGATCCTTCATGGAGCTCCCCCAGTCTATGACTAGTATGGCTTGCCAAAATATCCAAAACCCAAAAAAGCAGAGAAACACCTCTACCTCTGTAGACATAATTGGGTAGCATTTGATTGAGATACACTGACTGAGCTCCCACCAACTGTAATAGATATAGTAAGCTCACCTTATAGCCCTTCATTCAGAGTGTCTATGATAAATTTGAGCCCCAGAAGTGGCTCAATGAATAGCACAATGCAAAGTTCATTCACAAGTGACTACAAAAATGAACACATTGTTGGCTCTATAGCACATATCATGTCCTTTATAGACCATGCATGTAGTTCACAGAGCATGAGTGTGTCTAGCAATGCACAGTACTGCTATGAATGGGGAAATATTGTCATAACATTGATGTGTTAGTGTCCCAGCACTGAATGAATGGTTTTGGAAGTTCTCTCCACTGGTCAATATGCTTAGGCATGTCCCACAGATCTCCAAGAATATTATCCGATTTTCCTTTACTTTTCTGAGCCCAAAACAAGTGAGTTTTGCTGCAGTAACAGTGTGCACTTACATCGCTTACTAAGCGCTCCATTGAGCGCCCGTTGCCGAAGCGGAGTCGCTGACAGGCCGGTCACTCACAAGGGATTTTGGAGCACTCCCATTGGCTGGGATGCTGACAAATGCTCCCTTTTAAAGTAATGTTCTCAATCTCAGCTCTTCATGCCGAGTTTTTTGATGGCTTCAAGCAGCACTAACTGAGCTCTTACTAGAGCCCCATTAAATGCGATAAAATCCCAAAATATTCCTTCTCCATGGGATGCTCCTTGGATACTCATAGGTGTGTCCAGATTAGGTATCTTTGAGAGCACTGGCCATGACAAGTGATATTGAGGCATATGAGCAGATCTTGCTGTGCATACTTACTAGAGAGCTCCACAGGTATGAGGGGAGTCTTTGAAGCAGACATGGAAACCTGCCATATATGGTTAGCCTCTTGCCCATTTAGGAAGTTGGCTATGGATGGCCTCTGCAGTACTGGATAAATAGCAGGAAAATCAGAAGAAAATCAAGGAGTATTATACATCCATATTGTGCTCACTATTGAGGCTCACATGTGGCAAAAAACCTATGATAGTGCAGAGTTTCCCATGCATGGCCTGATATAAGCCACTCTTTCAGTGAGTCTTTGTATATCTTGTAACCACCAGTATCACCTGGAATTGTCAGGAACTGGCAACTCCAAACAGAATCATAGGCTGCTATGTTTAGTTCAACAGTTCAACAGGCCCTGAACATGCAGGGTGCCAAACTTTGGAGCTGAGTTTGAATTCCAGCCACAAGCTCATCAGTGACACTGTATTTGCTGTGCTGTGGCCTCCCAAAAATGCAAAACCAATTGGGTATATTCCCAGTCACATGTATGATGTTGTAGAGTCTGTACATAGTATGCCTTCCCATACATTCATATCAATGGCACCATTCACAAAGCAAAATAAAATACACATACCTCTGTACACACACATTCTTTCACATTGTTTGTGTTTCCTCTGGTGCTTACCAATTACCTATGAATTGTGTGGATACTATGTAGTAGCTGACCTGGAAAGTTTGAATTACCTGTCTGGGCTCAGAAAATGCAGACAAAAGAGGGAAATGTTATGTAAGATGCTACCCACCTTGTACTACTTGCCATAACTAGTGATTGGCTTCTGTTTCAACCCCTTATGTGGACCATGATCACTCAACAGTGAATACCTGCAGCACAAAAGTCCCAATCAATGCTGAAAATCCTCATATTATTCACTCTGCTTTGCATGTCCCTTGTATAATGTCATAGCCATCACAAATATGGGTTCCAGAATTTGTTCATACTGTACTGATCCTAGAAGTGACACAGAGACATTGTACTGTGCATTTACTACTCTTACTAGAGAACTCTGTAGACTACCAGTGTCATGAGGTGAGCAATTAGACATGCAGACTTACCATACATAGTATATCCCAGCCCTTCATGATTGCTGCAGTGCTGGATAAATGGCAGAAAATAAGATGACATCAACTCTACTCCCTCATATGAACATTTCCTGGAGCATATCTAACCTCTATGATCATATTACAGGCTAATGTATTACCAGGTCCTATTGTTATGCAATGACCCTTAGTATGTGGTGATAAAATTCTTGGCTTGTTCATATGGGCAGGGAATGATTGTACCATGTATTGATGATGTCTATGTGTGCAATGTCTTTTGTCACTTGGACTTTCATTGTTTACTAGGCAACAAGCAAGAGACCATACTATGGTGGACTTCTAGGCAAATATCTGATTGTCCTTCTCTAGATCTCTAGTCAACAATAAGTGACTTCAGATTGCTCTCATTGGCAGCAACATTTTCCCTTACATGTTATTACAAAATGCCAGCTAGTAGGCTAACTCATGCTGGGTTCTTTGATGGTATATGGAAAGTGGTAAAATAACACTTTA